AAATCCATGCTGCTTGTTGAGGCATAACTTRCTATTGCCCTTGGGAGGCAAAAACACACTACACTCCTGTGTGTGTGTTAATGAACACATATTTAATATACTGGCACATTTCACTTGCTGCAACACTCAGGTTTTCGTTTTTCCTTTTTTATTTAATGTTGGCTCCAATGGCACTAAGATGTCTGTAGTCTAGGCCCAGTTGTGTTAAAGTAATCTGAAAAATTGAGCACTAAATAGCTCAGTTTCAGTAAGAAATATCTGTTTTAATTTCATAACTATTCTCTGTACCTGTCTCAGAAGGATCCTATTTATTATCTGTATACGGTTCAAAGATTGYCATGATAAATATAAAAGTATACTCAGGGGAAGAATAAATAGGGATATAAAAGTCAGAAAATGTTGTGATGTGTGAGTTATYGTCACTACATATTAGTTAAACAAGTTTTGTGTTCTGAACAGTTTTTCTTAATTATTTGCCTGTGAAGGGCATCTATTTGGCAATGTTTGTGTACTACTGAACTCCACAAATTTCTGGTACCTCTCTACCGGCATCCTTTATTACTTCTGCATTTGCTAAAGCTTTTGAAATTCACACTACTGAAAATGTGTCTGTGTAATGCCASTTATTACATTTATGTGATTATGAAYAGCATAAATTAAGAAATTACCCAGGATAAAATTAACAGACCTTCTGGTGTCATCCTTCAGGTTATTTAAACCAATCACCAACTGGATAGAAACTTCCACAGGAGAAGTACAGCAGGGAGCTGATGCTTTTCACTGAATACCAGACTTGTCCTGTTAATCCTCTTTTCCAGATGCATGTGTCCTGGGAAGGGATATGTGCTTTAGGGACCTGAGCCAAAACATAAGCCTGTTCAAATATTCAGTGCATGAGGCAACACTCAGCATTTCTATATTTGGGGATGTGTGCTGATTTTTTTTCTCCTACTGACTATGGTAGAGCTATACATCATGGGTGCTTGTGATGTTCATAAAAATAATACTGTGTAATAATAGAGTATGCAGYGGAGTAATAAATATCTTTTAAGATGTAAGACAAAGCCTAATAAATTCATTAAACACACTAGATTTYCAGCCCCTAGCAGCAGACCTTGCACTTAAATGAAAATCACAACACGTATTTGTCCGTCTTTGACAGAGACTTGGAAACAGACTTTAAAATGAGATGTCTGAATAAAGAAAATGCCCTTGCTTCCATAAATACTGAGGATGAAGCTTGGCATAATAGACATGAATGTGAAGATGGAGGCACCTTAGCATGTCTTTGTGTCTCAGTCTGATTGCACATTGTGAGGCCTGGTGGCTCGATGGCTTCTCTCCTGCAGCCTCGTGATCACAGCAGCCAGGCTGATGAAGCAAACCTGTCCCTGCTGGAATAGCAACCTGAAGGGAAATGCAAGGCACCAACCTCTTTCAGACCTCGGTGCCAATTTGGAAATGTCCATGCAAATGCTGCTCTGTAAAAAAGCAATCTCACATTTACATAAATCTGCCTGAGACCGCATCATGTGCAGCAGCAAATACCAAATCGGGGTGGTGCTGTGGAAAGGGCAATGAGGTCAGGCTGAGAAAGCTTTTTATATTTTTAACCAATCAGTAAGGGGCTGCCAATGCAATACTATCACTTCTTTAATGCAATACTATCACTTCTTTTAGTCCAATATGTCCATTCTCCAGCTGCAGCCTCAGACTGGGCACAGAAATGTGCGCACTGATTATTCAGGCACACCATGCTGAATTAGTCCATAAACAAAATGCCTCTCTGATTAAAAAAAAAAAAAAAAAATCAAAGTTTTAATGAAGTCTAAAGTGCTTTAATTTTAACTTGGGCAGGTCTTTACTGTTTTATTGCCATTTGAGGTCTGCCACAGGTTGGTTTGTATGACTACTAAATATGTAAAAGCTAATGGGTTTTTTTCCTGTGTTTGGGGAAATATGGATCTGGTGCTTTATGTAAAGACCAAATCCTGGTCTTCCTGAAAAAGCAATGGTGACYATCCAAGTACAACTTTCCAAAATCTTGCCAATGTGATTGCTGCATGGTAAAACTCATAAGTTATTGTATATTTATTTCCAGTCTGTTTTTCCAGGTGATTCCCTACTCCTGAAGGTCATGTAGAAAAACATCACTAACTGAATGAAATTCTACATTTTTCTGGGTGTTGCCAAGATGCTGGTTACTGATCATACAAACCAGTTGAATAATATAGAATTCATTTTATATTCTGATTTTGGAATTCTTATTCTTTGACCAATACTTAAAGGTTGTCTAGATGTTCTTACTAGGAGACAATTTTATTTCTTTTTTAATTTACCAGCTTAAAGGAATAGAGAAATAATTTTTTTTAAGTCGATATCAGCTGATAGGCATACGATTAATATGGGAATTTCAGGGGAGMAGTTAAAAGTACAGCAGTGAAGTGAAAAGGAGAATTTGGGAAGGTAGTGCTGGCTTTTCTCCACCCGGGTGACTGATATGGAGCAAATCCTGTGGCATGGAGTGTCTGCARCAGCTGCAACAATACACCAAGGGCCCTGAAGACCATCTGTGCTGGAAGCCTTTCCAGTAACTGGACTTTTTGGTGTTATTCCACATTATATATGTGTACACCTTATATGTCTTGGTGTATTACTGTTATCAGCTGGATATTGTACATTCCTCTGCATAATCTCAGATTATGCCACTTCTTTTTTTTTTGGTCTTGTCTGYAGTCTTTTGTCTGCAAACAGGGAGGTTGCTGCTCACTAAATACACCAGGAAAACTTTCATAATTCCATGCCAACTGAGCRACTTGAGGTGCTATTTTGGCCCAAGGCAACCCGAATTAATGAGACTTAAATGCAGAATTTGCTCAGCCCCCCCAGGTTCAGTGGWACTGAAGAAAGCTCCTGCTGTGATGATATATTGGAGTCACAGATAACAAAAAATGCAGCACACATTATTCTTTTTTAATCCTCTAATTTTCTGGTAGAGAATACCACCCTCAGACTAKGTTTTCAATGCTAGCACTCAATCTATTACAAATACAGTTTTTCCTTTCAGCAGATTTCCTTCCTTTTCCTATTTTGTACAATGGATAAGTAACAAGGCTGGAAAGAATGCTTGTCAACTTCAATTTTTCCAAACATGTAAATATTATAAAAAACAACCTTTAAAAAATCCTTAGACAAACCCAATTATTTCCACAATTTAAGTGAGATTACARAGACAAACAGATAATTTACAAATAAACCCTGGTAGCCTGGAGAACCAAAATATTTTGTCATGGGGATCTTCCAAGTGAAAGAGCTCAGAATGAAAAGTAAAACTGCATTCACACAGACTTTTTTTGTTCAAATAAAAAGGGACAGAAACATACAAGGCAGCCATCGGAGAGAGGCCTTTATTAGCTGCTGTTTGTGAAAATACAATGCTCCAGGCCTTTGGAGTCCTTCAGGTTCATGTGTCCATGTGGAGCTTTGGGGATCACAACAGAGAACCAGAMGTTTGCTTACCTACTTCAGGATTAGACCCTCACACAGTGTGCACAGATTTTCCTTGGGAAATACCCTTCTGAGTTAGGAGCATTATTTTCTTCACCAAGATAGTTTTGCCAGTGCAAGATTGAACTAAATACAAAAAAACTTCTTTCTTCAGTTATGGCATATTCCTCTATGGAAATGTAATCTAATCACTAATCTAATTTATATGAATATCAGAGAGCTGATAAGATTTTTATGCTTTTGATTATACTGATAACAGTAAAGCAAGAAACTTGGATGTTGACAGTGTTTGAAAGCAGATTAACTAGAAAAACATATTCCAAAGATGGTTGGTTAAAGGGAAATCTTTTTGCTGCTCTTCTGTGGTAGTTATACATTCATTGGCATCATAATTTCCAGCAATGAGCAATGAAAATACCTGCATTTACTGTTTGAAAGGAAAGAGTAGAGCCAAAATAGATGAACTGAGCTGTTTTAACAGACTAAACAGGGAGAAAAATACAGGTATGAGGATCTACCCTTTTTAGTGCCAAACTGGAGATTTTTCATCAAAGATAAMTCCRTGTCACTTAATCTCACCACTGGGARTCAAATAACCTTTCTTTGTTCAATTTAACAAACTGAATTTTGAACTGTAAGGAGCATTTACCTTTTTGAATTAACAGAAATTCTGTTTTGCTAGTTGTAATGTTCTTTCTGGCCTCAGAAGGTGGTTATAATTCTAGAAAGTGGTGTCATTTTAGCTATTGGTGCTGAGGGAACCATGAGACAGAGTATAAATTAATTTGCAGCCTGTTTAAAAGCGGGGACAAAATGCATGAACCTTCATTCAAAAACTGCTTCCGTTTATTATTCTTTCACGATTAACTAAAGAGGACTTCAACTTCCTTTCAGTGTTAGCATGGTAAAAGTCATTGRTTTTAAGAAACTGGCTGGTTTGAGTATTCATTCAGTACATTGCACATACATGGAACTATAGAGCAAGGGAAGGCCACCAATTAATCCTTGCTCCAAAGGTGTGAGTGGATATGATCATATGCCATACAAAACCAACAGATTTGGTTAGTGGGACAATGCCTCACTGAACAGATGTCTCTTGAAAGGAGAGTGGAAACACTTGGGTGTGGGAGGCCTCCTTTGTCCTCTCCTCTGATGTMAGGTAAACCAGGACCCAACTAGCTGCACAGGGATCCATGCTCAACCCTGATGGATAAAGCTGTTGAAAACAATTTGATCTCATGTGTCTCAGCTTCCCCTGTGCATGCCTATGATGGATCCATACATGTGAGAAGAAAAACAAAAAGGGGCCTAGTAACGGGGAAAAAACATGCATCCCTCATTTATTTTTGAAGGAGKCAGCATCAAGCATAGGGATAATGTGAATTCCTTGGTCAGGCAACAAGGAATGAATGCAAACACAATACAAAGAGCAGACAGAGAGTGGATGCAATGGAATCAGGCATAACAATTGTAGTGACTTTCATGATACTTCTGAAAATGTCATGTTCCTGGTGAATCTGTGCATCTTTGAATCTGAAGTTTCCTTTTAAGGCTTTGCTGTGCTAGCAAAACCTAATTAAGATTTTGGTGAAACACCCTGTCACAAAACCTCAATGAGAGGCTTTCTGCTGAAGTCACCACGGTCACACCAGTAGGAAACTGGAGGAAAAAGAGAATCAGGTTACATGGGTTTGGGCAGACTCAGGGTGTGGTGACCACAAGTGTTCCTCCTCCAGTAACTCCCATAACTATCTGCTGGGGCCTCAGTTAGCAAACCTACTTCAAAACAGGTATTGCTCAATGCTTAAGTTTAGGACAATGTTTGGGCCTTTTTTTGTCCCCCCAAATGCCTAGAATGCAGTTTAGTGTTGGAAAAGGTGACAACTTCTAATTGCTGTCTCTGTCTGTGTCACTGGGCTGAWCAAAGCCTTGACAGCCTCACTGGAAGCATCACTTGTGAGAGTGTCTGAAAGTTCTGGTTAATCACAGGCACTTAACCTTGCASAGCAATGGCAGGAAAGAGCTGATAGAAATTGGAGGGCCAGAATTAACCATTAGGAGGCTCTGTTAAACTTCCAAATACAAGGATGAAGGAGGGTGGGAGATGAAGTTCAAAAATCATGCAAGACTTAGGAKATGGCTGATTCAGCAAAACACAGATTCCTCTGCCTCTGAGTTCAAGGCTGTCTCAGCCTAACAAAGTGGCTAAGCAGGCCCATAATTTGACCTATGACAAATACCCTCAATTTCATTGAGACGACTCATAGCCATGCAGTTACTTAAACGCTTTGCAGGCTGTGAACCAGCTCTCTGTAAAGTGATCTGGTTACTGCATGCTCTTGTTTGAAATTCCCAAACTGGGAAGGTAGGTACTTTCAATAATGAACACTCTGGAGGCGATGCCACATGAGATCTTTTGCCTTTCAAATGCAGATGACAGGTTACTAAAAATGTTTCTCTCCACACAGCATTTTTTTGCTGTGCTGCTGTGTGCTGCATATGCCAAACTTTCCTCTGTGACTGTAAAATATTTAATCTCGTTTAGGTTTATTATCTGGCTCAAGAAGAAACAGAAACACCTTCAGATTTGGTGATTACATTTCACTGAATAATCTTGTGAACACATTGAACAGCTTGACAGTTATATTTAAATAYACTTAGGGATGGTACACTCACTTGTTTGGAAGTTTACATTTGTGAAGATGTGTTTATTAGCATTCAGTTTCTTGATCCTTTCATACCAAATATGACACTGACTTCTGCATTCTCACACAATTCTTATTCAGAATTTCAGTGGAACCTCAATGTTGCAGTTAAGGTGTAGCTCTATTTTGTCAAAATCTGTTTTACTAAAAATTCTTCAGAATTCTCCAACTCYATTTTGGATCTGCATTTCTCTGTATAAGCCTAATAGTTGAAATTTSTTTGGGTTCTTCAGTTACAGGATGAGCACTGATGTTACAGAATAAACACAGTTTATTCCTGTTCAGACTGAAGTCTGCAAAATCAGTGTTTCTTCAGTGCAAGGAGTTTAATGCATGTTATTTTTTTTTTTGTATGAGAGGATAAGGCACGTATCTGCAGCTGTCACCTTTGAGTCATCACTCATTTTATTCAAATGTTCTTAATGAGGCAAGATAGTTCACTTTGGTGGGTGATACAAGAGGAATCCTSTATAAATTATCAAGAAAAAACAGGGCATGAGAACTCAGTCATATTCCTTAAGTATTAGTCACAGACACCACGACTATTTCTCTGTTTTACCTTATCGTTCTGAATTGAATAAGGAACTTAATTCATTACATCTAAACGCCGTGTAATTGACCTGTGCCCTCACCCGATATTCCAGGGAGATCATTCCCGCTCCTACAGCGGTGCAGCMGAGACCTGTCTTTGGTGCGGAGCTGCTTCTTAAGCGTCGTTTCCTTATTCCCTCCCTAGGACCGGCGATGGAGCAACTGGGAAATAATTACAAAACACGTCCCTGAAAAAGAGGACGAGGAAGTGAAATCAGAGGGCTCCGCCGCCCTCCGGGAAAGGGAAAAAATACGTACAAATCCCTGAGCAGATGGTGAGTGTAAACACACCGGAGCGGAGCTGAATTCCTCCCGGGGGGAGCTCGGACTTTCTCCTCTCCGCTGCTCGCCTCTCGACCGCGGAGGCCGCGGAAGCTGCTCCGCCCGGGGACACACGGACACGGACAGACACGGGGACGCGCAGCGAGCCCCGCGCCACGCGTGCACACACAGCCGGGACACGCTCACCATCCCTCGCACACACACCGGCACAAGACACAGACACACAGAGACACACACACAGAGCCAGGCGGCCCCGCTCCGCGCCGCGGGGACACTCACCCCGCACCGGCACACGCGCGAAGCACCGCCCCGGACCGCCTCCGCATCCCTCCCTCCTCTCCTCCCGCCCTCCCCGCTCCCCGCCCGCCGCGCTCGCACACACATACACACACACACATACATACATACACACCGGCCGCAACATGACGGGCGGGCGGACAGACTGACACACCGGGGCACCGCCGCTCCGCACGGATTATTCTCCCCGCGCCGGGGCGACGCAGCGATCCAGCGGGGCGGGGGCGGTGCCGGTGCCGCGCTGCCAGGAGGGTCCCGGCCCCCGCCGGCCAGCGGCGAGCGCGTCGGGCGCCGGAGGAGCCCGGCCAGGTAACGCGTCCCTCCCGGGCGGTAYCTCCGGGCAGAGCCGGGCCAGGCCGCGGGGCGCCGCCGGGTGCCCGGTGTGCGGTGCCCCGTCACCCCGCTCGGCAGGTGCCGGGGTGATGCGGCGGGTGTCGCCCCGGGGCGCGGCCCCCACCCCCCGCTTTGGCCTCGCCTTCCCCGCCGGCGGGGCGGCGGCCGCCGGGCGCCCTGCGTCSACCCGCGGCGGTGGGGGCGGCGGAGGATCGGGGCTGCCGCAGCTCCGCGCTGATCCCCGGCAGCCGCGCTCCGGTAGCGCCGCGGATTTGCGAGGGCGGGCGGGCGGCGGGGGCACAGCGGCACTGGCGTCTTTGTGGCGGGGCGGCCGGGGCTCGGTGCCCGCAGGTGTCACCCGGGGGCCGGCCCAGCCCGGGGCAGAGGCAGCGCTGGCGGGGCTGCCGGGGTGGCCTGGGGGCAGAGCGGGGCTGGTCGGGCCCGGCCTGATGGGGGCACGGCACGGCACGGCACGGCACGGCACGGGGAGCCGCTGCCGGGCGGCTGCATCGCTCTGGTGGTCACTCCGGCCTCGCTGCTGCAGGTGACAGGGAAGGAATCGCATCCTTTTTTTGTTTATTTTTGGCGTTTCTTCTTTCCGGTTTTCCCCCCTTTTCCCTCCCTCTGTGTGTGCTCGGCAGTCTGCAATTAACCTATGAAAAAGACAAGAAGTGGTTTCAGAAATGTGAATGGGTAGGGCCGGGCCACTGGCGGCCATGTGTGACCTTTGCCATGGATTGGGAGGCAGGAGCTGGAGGATGCTGCATGTGCTTTCCAAAATCGCATGGCAAGCTGAAAAAGTGGAGGTTATTATGGAAGAGGTTCATAGAAATCTTGTTTTTCCTCTAGATAGTTTTTGYGTTGCTTCTCCTAGCTGAAGAGGTTATCTTTGACTTTCGGCARAGTATGTTGCTGCAAGTTGTCTTGCAAAGGAACGGGGTTATTTTGCTCTTCCACAGAGAAGGAATCCCCCCCTACCGCCCAGCTTTATGTCTCTAAGTCTCCTTTGGGATTGACAGCAATAAGTGTCTTGGCATAGACAGAARCTGCAGTGTGCTTTATTTTCTTATTGCACAACTTTATAGTTGAACGTAACTAGAAAGGAGATTCAGAATAGTCTCTTATCCCTCTCTATGCCAGATGTGTTTTTCCATCTCGTATATATTGCACTTGAAGTGTTAAACTCTCTGGGGGCATGGAGGTGGGGATGCGAGGCAAGGTCTACTAGTTACTTCAAACAATTCTCCTTGCTCATACTTAAGAAGGAGAGAAAGGAACATGTTGTAAAAGCAGCTGAGGAATATATAAAAGTGAAATATTAATGAACTGAAAAAGCTCAGATAGCAAAGACATTGTGCCTAATAATTCAGGAGGGTTCTTGTCCTCTTTACAACTCCTTGTTGTATGTGTGCCTGYACTACAAATGCAATTGATATAAAGGATGGTAATGTTTGTATTTAGCTGGAAATAGTAGTAGTACATTTCTGGGTTTTCTTGCATTAGTGATCATCTCTGCAGTAACCTTGCTTTAACTGTGACTTTTGAGGCTGCTGTAAGAAAGGGAGTTATTACAGAAACAGTAAAAAAATATTTCAAGAATGTTTTCTTGGAAATGTAAATGGGAAGGGCTGACTAAGACCTGGAATAACCCAGGGAACAACTAGTCTTGGAAAGTCCTTTCAGAGACATCATGATGACGGCTGTGAGATTATTCATCTCTTGCATCCCAGGGAGCAACATCCCATAAACAGCACTGTCTCAAAAGAAGGTAATACAGCTGTCCAGGGTCTGCTGAAAGTGAGACATGGAAGCAAGGGGTATTTTCTACAAACTGAGGTTYCTTTACCTCTTTGAGTCCGGAATGGGGTGGTCCCTGTAGTTGGACTAACTTCGCCAGTTTGGCTTGGAAGGWTACTAAGTGCAGCAGCTTTCTGCCACAGATTGGTGAGAGAATTTGACTCAATGGGACAGTTTTYTGTCAGCCCGTAGGGTGAAGTCTTGTAACCCTGGCTCTAATCCTTGGCTCTTTGGCAGGACTTTTTGGAGTAGCTGCTGGCTTGAGCGAGGCCTGCCTTCTGGAGAGCTTGCTGCATGCCTCAGTAGGGCAGCACARCTGGGGAGCTGTACCAGAAGGACAGCCTGGAACAGTACATGGACCATGTCTGGGTTACAAGAGTTAGTGTTTGTTTTTTAAGTCTGTTACTCATGGAAGTTGCTGAAAAAGCGTCTTGTATCCTCGGGTCTGTGCATGTGGTTGTGTGAGAGCATGATCTCTTGTGCTGCATCAGCTATGTGTGGTTGGATTTCTCCTTTTTGATTCAAACCTAACATGAGCCTTTGAAGTTGACATTGAAGAAGTTAGATTTGGTAGTGTTTTGGAGCTTTGTCTGCTGGAGTGTTTCATAAACAGAAAGAGAGATGTGGAGAAGTTGCTCCACTGGGAAAARTTCCCACTCTTCTATGAAAGTTCATGGAAGATGCTATGGCTTTGTTGGGTTAGTCCATATGGAGTACTAGGAAGAATAATGGCCAGTGTGTATTTTTTATGATGTTAGGAGTTATACAGATACAAGTAAGTTACTTGAGAAAAGCATTTTGTAAAATTAAACTTAATGGTTGTTTTTGAAAAGCATAAATCTTCATATTCTACAAACACGACAATTTCATAGTGTTTAAGTTCTTGGATTGTTTTCTCTGGACTTTTGGAGGCCTCCTAATAAAAGGAGGCTGTATATTTGCCTTCCTTTGAGGCAAGGGAAAAAGTGAATGTTGCACAGTGGTTTGTGTGAAGTGGGCTGATACAAGTAAAGCATGGCATGAAATAATACTYGTGTGTCAGTGAACATATCAGTGGATAAGAAACCTTATAAACACTTAGTYAAATAGCTGCCAGCTTGTTATGGTCAGGAACTGAGCTATAATCTTTTATCTTGCAGAAGTTACWCTTATAAGATGCAGTGCCTCAGTTCTTTCCATTGAGAATACTTTTGCTGCAATTGGAGGGGCACATCACCAGGTGGGAGGGGGGAAATAAAAGGAAATATACACATAAATAATGGTAAGTAGGGGCTGGGCTTGTTTCCTGAAAAATTACTGCAGTTTCATCAGATTTTTCTCTTGATATAGCATTTATTTGGCAGTTTTCTGTAGTGATAGTAAACTGGGCTACCTTGATAAAGTAAATATGCTTTTGTATTTCATTTTAGCTATTGACTGTACGGCTGTGTGAGATGTAAAATACAGGACTTGCAAGCACCTCAAATACCTATTGTCATTTATATTTGTAAGATTTTATGTGTATTCCTGTACTTCAGTAAGGGCATGTAACTTTGACAGTATGGAAGATCCAGCTTTATCTTTYATAGGCATCAGTATTAAAACTCTATAGCTGTTTGTTAGTTAAATACGTGGTTACTTGTAATTCCTGCTTCTTGACTTGTTCTCACTGCACTACATCGTGGAGTGTGTTGCTTAAATAGTACAGAGTCACTCCAGGACTGAAGACTGGTATCATTTCCATATTGTATGGCAGTGAAATGATGATGATAATAATAAAAATAATAATAATGCTTTCTATGAAGTCTGCCACCTTTACCTGAAATGTGACTGTCCTATAGAGGATAGTTRGTTTATAGTAAGGGAAAAAAAGCTACAGGCAGGCAATAAGTAAAAGTAGCAAAGTCCTAGATGTGGGCAAAACAACTTTTTTATTAAATGTACACTGTAGTCTGTTGTGCATGTTTTGTAATTTTGCACAAMATGTGACAACTAAAAAGAAAAAGTTTGAGAAGATTTGAGTGACGATGGTTTTCTATCCAAACATTGTATGTTGCTTATCGATGGTGTTTTTGCCCTGTTTATTGCTRTGAAGGCCCATGTGAGTGTTGTGGTATGGATGTGTAATTCTTTTCCTTATAGATGGGAAATTGAAGCAGTGATGTGTTGAAATCATACAGCTGACTTGTGATAAAGACAGTTGAACTGGAATATTCATCCCAAATCCCACAGTGGTATCTTAATGGATTAGCTGTGTTTATATAGTTTGTTTGATAACTTGCCATAGATGTGGAAACTTCTTACAGATCCAGTTACAGGATTGTGTGTACAGTAATGCAGCATTTTCTCAATAAAGACCAATTACTGTCAGAGGATTTTTTTTCAGTCTAGGYGAAAAAACTTTTCCTGGATTTCATTTTGTTGTTAAGTTTGAGAGAAAGCAGTTCTGCACTCGTAGAATGTAATGATGCTCTTACATTATTTAAGGAAATACCACTTAATTTTTTATAATGCTCTAGCATATCAGGAATTTGAGATCTGGCTCAGTCAGTAATGCTTCTGAGGATCACAGCTGTTTTCCAGTGTGAAGAACYAGTTGTGACAGGCTGGTAGGAAGCTTTTAAAAACACACTTCAGTAAATTTTTGTAGTGCATATCATTGCTCCTGAAAGTACGTGTTTTGGTTCTAGTGCATATCTAGCTCTGTCTTTTTTTTGATTATTTCATGCTTGTTTTGGGGCCTCTTTCCTAATCTTTGTTTCACGTGCTATCTTTATGTGATCCCTTAAAACATTTTAGTAGGAAAATAACAGYTCTAAGTGATTTACTGATTTTCCGTAGTACAGTGAGATTTAGATTTGGGTGGGAGTGCAAAAGTATTCAACAGGTTTTTCATCTGTGTGTTGTCTGTGACATAGTCCAAACCTTGTMATTTACCTAAGAAGCAATGACATCTATTCAGATGCCACCTCCCAGTGATGTTAATCAGTCACTGTCCACCAGGCCAGCCAGATCTCACACCGAGAGAATAATGGAGTCTTTGCCTCCAGAATGTGGTCAGGGGGTGTGCTGTGCTCAGGTGGCAGTGGCAGTCTCTGCCCACTCTGCTGGTATCCAAATACACCAGCAGTTTGTGCTTTGTACTTTGTCCTGTGTGCTAGGAAGYAATTCCAAATTCTACAGTGTCTTCTAGCTTTCAT